GAGCTTCACCCTACGATTTGCCAACCGATAGCTATTGCTGTTCAACTTGGTTTTAGAGAGTTCTATTACCATGGAGTAATGTCTGTCTGTCTGCTGTGACATACAGGGCAGAGCTGTTTTAATGAGGAACAGTACTCTGGTAATATTTAAGACCTGGGCCACCAGTGAGGAAAAAATTGCCTCTTTAGGGGATTAGAAAGAGGAAGTTCTGGGTAGCCAGGGATCCTATCCTACCTGATGTTGAGCATCTGACACTTCTCTGGATACATTTTTAGACTTCCCTCACCATTTTCCATGAAATAAATTTAATTTAGGCCTATTATATGTCTTCGATAGCACAGCGGGTAGGGCGGCGTTCGCCCTACACGCAGCCAACATGGCTGACCCGAGTTCGATTCCTCCGCCCCTCTCGGAGAGCCCGGCAAGCTACTGAGAGTATTCGATATGCCAGACACAGTAACAACAAAGTCTCCAATGGAGACGTTACTGGGCCCGCTCGAGCAAATCGACGATCAACGGGAGGGCCTCGAGCAAATTATATGTCTTATCCTTAGTCTAGTTTGGAGTAGTTCACTTGTTCCACTACTCATATCTAAACTGGGACAGTTATTTCATAAACTAAACTAAACTAAATTTTATTTCATAAAATAAACTAAACTGGTTTGTTATTTCATTTAGATAACAAGGCTCCCAAGAAGTTATCAGCAAATGCATGATACTAGTAATTGTCATGGTAATGACCTTATATCTGCGTAGTACTTTGTAACAGGCATAGCACTTTATATGCTCTTTGGTCTGCATATCAACACCATCCTGAGATATATCCTTGTTGTTATAGCATTAAGATGTTAATATTAAATATTTAAAAGTAATGATCAATGTGACATTCTCTAAGTTGTAGCATAGATTTTTATTATTTTTCTTTTGTTTATCTCTATTTTGAATATTTATAATGGGAGTATTTGTGAAATGTAGAGTTTTATTTTCTTAAAGCTGCAGTGGACAGAAAAGTAAGCAACAGTGAGTGTGGAGGAGTGGAAATGTGTAGAATTCAGACAGCATGTGTACATTTTCTGCTATAGGCAAAAGTTTAAATACAATAGACATCAACAATTCAGACTCTTCTGCCGTTTGGGCTTCTAGAGTACTACTTCTAGAGTCTTTGTTGACTCATACTTTATTCCTCCTCCTCCTTACACTTATTTCCTCCTTTCATCCCACCCCCCATCTCTTTGTCAAAGGCTCAAATGCAAGCCTTGCCATTTTTGCTGCCATCACTTTGCCATTCTTGCTCCTAATGATTTTCATTCGCAAAAAATCATTTGCTAGTCATGAGTGCTAATTTCCTCCTCTATAAAATAGAAGCATAGTTTCCTTCACAAGAACATCGCCAGTCAAAGGGGATATACCTGGAAAAATGAGTATATCTAGGACTCTCTTATTTCTACCCTTGGGTCTCCATAAACAAGTTTTCTCCATAAACTCCAAGAATAATGTGAGACTTAAGGGCCCAATTCTATCTTATAGTATGAAACTTGAACCTTTACCTTGGGAAGTTAAATGTCTCTTGCACAAAATACCACTGGAGTATAGTGGTAGTGAAAATGAGAGTCAGGACTGAGGGCTTGAACCCACTTTCCTCACCAGGCTAACTCATGTGATTTGTTTTTCAAAGGTTCTGACTACTCACATCTTTGCCCTCAACATTTATTTCATGACATCGAGTCAAACCTATTTTATTATCTACCTCATCTGTTTTTCCTCTTCCTCCTTCTCGGTTCCTACAGGCTTTTATGTTTGAATCTTCTTTGAGTATGGCTGTCACCAAGTGGGGCCTCAAGACCTGCAATTGTTTGGATGAAAACTACTACAAGTGCTGGGAGCCTCTCAAGAGCCACTTCACTCCTAACTGCAAGAACCCAATGGGATCTAAATGAGCCTAGAGCATCGTTACTCTAGCTAATCGCAGACTTGTGTGGTTTCCTTTAGATTCTCCTGCTCTCTGGCAGTACTGGGGTAGGGGGTAGGTAAATGAGGGCACACTTTTTCACAGTAACTCAGACATTTGTAGAAATGTACTTGGAAATTTGTTTGGCTGTCAGCTTAATTACTTAATAAAGACATACTGGTGTTCTGTGGAAATGGTAGTTGGTTGTAATCAGGTCTAAATAGGGAAGATAGCAGGCAGGACTGGGGGGTCCTAAGATTAAGCCAAGGCCAAGGTCTCTTCCCATGTGCTTAACATGATCGCCTTTATTTTAGGAACAAAAGTACTACAGACATTTGTACTTTTGTTCAAATCATTCCATGACATAAGGAAAAACAGGCCATGGTGAGAGCCATGAAGCAAAAGCCATGCAGCTAGGAATCAATTTAGACATAAGGAAGCACAGGTGACTACAAAGCCCTAAATATCCATTGTCATCCTAGAAAAGGTGGGTAACTAACCCAGCAGACTACCTAATCTTAGTAGTTATGTAGCCATCTGTATAACTGTATCCGAAGACAGTTGACAAGAAGCCTAATCACCCAAAAGGGAACACAATCCACTGAAGGTAACTAGTAGCCCATATTCTTTCTTGGAAATTACTGTGCTCTTAGGAGTCAAACCAGATCAAACAAGGTCCAATAGTCACTTAACTACCACTCATCAGTCTACTTAGTAAGTGTGCATTGAGTCCTTACTATGTGACAACTGCTAACCGGGACACTGGGAATGGATGATTGAAAAAAAGTTGTCTCCACCCTCAGAAAACTTGTAGTCTGAGGAGAACTGGACCAAAGATCAAGACCCAAGTACATGGTCACAGCAAAATCAGGCAGCTAAGCAGCTCTCTGTCACTGGTGGGCATCCCTCCCAGAGTACTGCATTGCCCAAGAATTTCAGTGAGTTATTAGGGTCACTAAAAATTAGATGGAGTGAAAATATAGGAAAGTCAGAGCTGAGAAGAATAAGATGGTATTTGTCACTACTTAAGTTCTGTAATTCTAGCATATTTCCCCTACTTTGTTACCGTAGTAGCAGTTTTGATATTGTACTACTAAACTTTTATTTAACAATATATATAGTGAGAATCTATAAGGTGTAAAGATCTAGGAATTAAGATTGGCAGATAAAATAAAGAATGTCCAATTAAGTTGGGAGTTTAGATAAATAATGAATTATTTCAGTATAAACAGGGCTAGAGCAGCATACCTATGCTAAAAATATTACAATTCATCTGAACAGAATACTTATATATTTTATTTGCCAACCTGGCACTTATAGGAAGTATATGGTAGTCAAAGAGAGACAAGTCTTGCCCTCATAGAAGTTACATTCTAGAAAGAGAAACAGACTAAATAATTACAAATTGTGAAGCATGCTATGAAGAAAACATATAAGGAAGGCCTTCAATGAAGAAATGACATTTAGCTAGTACTGAAAGATAGGAAAGAACATGTCACTGGAGAAATAGGGTTGATCTGGGATAGAGTTAGAGGTAAAATGTTCCAAGAAAAAGCCTACAGTTTCAAGGAACTGAAAGAGAAGTGGATGTGTGGAGCCAAAGAGGAGATTACTGTAAGAGTCCAAACACAAAACTGCATTTTCTTGGCCAAAAGAGGTGGAAGCAGAGAAGTAGATAAACTCTAGGGTATTTTTGATTTGTCATGAAAGAAATTGTAGCAGATTGAATGAAAGAGTAGAGAATAGGACTGGAATGACTGTTGCATTGGTCTCGGACAACGAGGTGATGGAATCTTTGTGGATAACAGAAGATGGTGAGCTTCCCCAATGTTCCTTAATATCAAAAGTATTTATTAAAATTGAACATCATTAAGTAGTGAAAAAGCCAATTCCTTTAGAGTAGACTGGAGCCTTAGCTAGAACCTGGCAAAGGTGCAGAAGACTAAAGGGCTGTGGATACAACCCTCCGTCAAGGATAACAGGAATTGCTTGACAAATGTACCAATTCTCTTGTCTCATAATCCTGAGGTTTTTATTTGGGCCCAGGCTCCCTGCAATTTCCAGAGAGATTAAATTCCATGAATCACAGAGGTGTCTCTGAGCATGCACCCATTATTAGATTCTTCCCCTTTTCTTTTCCTCCAAGGATGTTTCCACAGAAGTTTTCTTAAACAACCCAAACTAAGTAGACCCTGCAAATATTTTATTCTCAAACCCCAACTATTATTTTAAATTTTATTTTATTCAAGCACTGTGATGTACAAAGTTATTTATAGTTGAGTTTTAGACATACAGTATTGCAGCACCGATCCCACGACCAGAGTCAACTTTTCTCCACTCATTAACCCCAGGCATTCTAACTCTAATGTCACCCATTTCCCTTCATGCTATCATCAGTGTGGGCACAGTCTTCCAAGGGTTAAGAGAATATTCAGGTTTCACATCCATTTCACTTCCAAACCTTTGTACTTCATCTCCCCAGCCTGGCAGCAATTTCTGAGCTAGAGACGATATTTCTTTCACCCAGGCCAGGCTGTTGCACTAATTAAAAAAAGATTGAGTTTTCTTCTGCTGTGCTTCAGATCAGCTAGATCAGTATTGTTGCCTTTATTTCCTACTCTCAAAGTTACTTTCCTATACCATTCCTCCATATAACATCTGTTTGCTTAGAAACATAAAACCATTTTTTTAAATGGGGGGGCACTTGGGTTTAATTTCCTCCAATAACTGGAACATTTCCTGTACACACCCTCTGGTATATTTCATTTTGAGGGGTACAATAGAAGTCTCCCATATGTACAGCCCCGATCACTTGCAGTGGCTTTCATGGTTCTCATCCAGAGTGGTTTTATATCACCCCTTCCCCTTTTGAAAGATTAGATATGTTGGATTTGTCCCAGCTCAAAAGGGTTAGGGTGGAAGTTGCTGGCATCTAGTAGGAAAAGGCTCAGAATACTAGCTAACATCCTGCAATGCTCAACACATGGCCTACAACAAAGAACAACCTGTGAGGATCCTGCTCTAGTCAGAGTGATTTTTCTCTTTTTCTTTGTTTCATGTCATTGCGCTGAGATCATCACAAGGCTTGCGGGAAGCATGTGTCACATGGATGTGTGAATAGCCAGTGATCACGCTTATGAACCACAAAAGGATCAACACTGTGGTCACCAGCTCCGTTTGAACAGTGGGTCTCTTGGTGGCATTTAAAATCCAAGAGCCAGGGTATACCTTAAATGAACAAAATAAGGAACACTGAAGATAGAACCCAAATGAAAATTGTTTTCTATAACTCTTCAGGTGATTTTTTTAATACACAGGCACTGCAGAGAAACCGTTTTTTTAAAGACCTTAGAATCGACATCTGAACTCCCTGTTTTCAGACACAAATCCTGATCCAAATTAAGGCTTTTTGGAGTCTACAAAAAGAAGACAAAAATCCTCTTAAAGCTCCCAGTGTTTCCACAAACGTGTAGAGGGTGAAAAGTGAGTGATTACCCAGGAGGAACAGGAGGCTACAAGGCAGTGTGTGTGTGTGTGTGTGTGTGTGTGTGTGTGTGTGTGTGTGTAGGGGTGGGGGTTGGGGCGCAGACACTGTCTTCTACCAGGAATCCCAGCTCCGCAAATGTGCCCCAGGGGGCACAGGGGAATTCAGAGAAGCAGGACCAGAAAATTAGGGAACTTCTGGCCTAGATGTAAACATCTTACAAATTAAAGGTTAATGTGTAGGGTTCAGAGACTTTAAAGATCTGAGTTCATGCTTTGCATGCCTGAATTTGAGGCCCGCACTACGTAGTCCCCCAAGCACCCCCAAGTGGCTCCTGAGCCCAACACCGAAAATTTTAAGTATTGTTTAAGCACTGTCAGATGTGACTCAAATTTAAAACTTGAAAATAAAAGTTAAATCTCTTTTTTTTTTAATGGCAGCTAAGAGGTGTTGGGCTGTCTGGGCATGAAACTAAATATCCTTTACCCAGCCACCGGGTGCCAGAAACTCACTGAAGTGTATGATGAGCGCAGACATTGTACTTTTTATGAGAATCAGGTGGCAACTGAAGTTGCTGCTGACATTCTGGGGGAAGAATGGAAGGGATCTGTGCTCCGAACAGTGGCGGGAACCATCGCAAGGTTTCCTCACGAAGCCTGGGGGATTGACCCATGGTCAGGTCCAATTGCTGCTGAGTAAGGGACATTCTTGTGATAGATTATGGAGACAGTGAAAGTGTAAATCTGTTAGCAGTTGCATTGGGTAGTGCCGGTTTAAGTGTCCTCAACATTGGTCATTGTAAAGAAAGACGAGAATGATATTCCTAGACTCACTGTGAGTCTTGGCATCTAGGGCCCTAAAGAACAAGAAGAATCTGCCAACTTTCCAATCTCTCTAAAAAAGATATATTTGTCAGACAAGCCCCCAAAACATTAAACCCGGCCGAAATCTCCCCAGAGAAATCACACAAAGACAAGTTTCTATGCAATAAGTAAAGGGTCTTTATTGGCTAGCTAGCTAGCTCTAGCTGGGATCACCATCCAGCTCATTGACACAGCAGCTTCCTGGGAGCAAATGAGTGGTCCTGAGTCTCAAAAGTGAGGACTTTTTATACCATTATGTTATATAACAGGAACTTTCCACAGACCACCCTTTTGGCCCCAGTCTGAGGTACTTTTCACTACTTGTACTTAGCTGGTAAGTTATAAGTTGGTTACATAAAGGTTACATAACGGTTACATAACAGGGGCTTTTCTACCTGGATCTGATTGGCAAGTCTAGTTGACCTCACCATGCCTATCTCACTTGGGGAAATCATGACTCAATTCCAGGAATCTGCACTCAAATCCAGGAATTCTGGAACCGAAACCTAGGCCTATATTCTTCTAGCTCCTTTTTCGAGCCTGTCATGGCACTGCCATTGGCTTCTCTATCTCTCTGACCTTATAAAATGTAAGTAATGACAGCATATGCCACCCAGTGTAAACTACAGAATGAATAAGCATGAACAAAAGACTAGAAAAGCACTCTCAAAAACTCTCTTCACCCTACCCCCACCTAAAAGGTTCAGAGAAGATAGAACAGGATAAAAGGCACTTGTCTTGCATGCAACTGACCCTGGTTTGATCTCATCGCCAGTATGATCCCCCTGACACTTTTAGGCTTTATGCCTGTGTTCAGAACAGGCCTTGAGCACCCCTGGGTGTGCCCCAAAAGCAAAACAACAACAAAGTACATGTTGGATAGAAGCACTGTAGCACTGTCCTCCCATTGTTCATTGATTTGCTCAAGTGGACACCAGTAATGTCTTCCTTGTGAGACTTTTTGTTACTGTTTTTGGCATATCAAATATACCACGGGGAGAATATGCCACGGGGAGCTTGCCAGGCTCTGCTGTGTGGGCGGGATACTCTCCATAGCTTGCCGGGCTCTCTGAGAAAGACGGAGGAATTGAACCCGGGTCAGCCGCATGCAAGGCAAATGCCCTACCCACTGTGCTATCTCTCTAGCCCAGGTGTTGGATAGTAAGTAAGGAATGCCTCAAGATCAAAATATTCCCATCAAAATAAAAACAATCCTGAATAATAGATCATTGTTATTCAGTACAGTGTTAGGGATCTATTATTTAGGATTGTTTTAACTTTGATGGGAATATTTTGATTATGATGATAGTTATTATAAATTATCGTAGGGAATAGTATCCAAATTCTGAAATCGACAGCTCTTTCCTAGATGATTTTGAGCAAGTGATTTAACTTCTCCAAGTCTCAACTTTTGCCATGAAAGAAGGAAATTATTTACTTTACGGGATTTCATGAGAGCAAAATGAGACTGTGCATGACAGGTACCTCAGACTGCTTTGGACACATAGCAAGACAGTAGTTATTGTCTATCATTAGTTATTAGTTGGTTATCAATAGTTATTGTCTATCATACTGCTTTGGACACATAGCAAGACAATAGTTATTGTCTATCATTGCTCGTAGGACAGTGAATTTTTTCTTTTTCTCCTTTGTTTTGTTTTATTTTGGGACCAAATCCCGCTGTGCTCAGGGCTTATTCCTCACTTTGCACTCAGGGATCGCACCAGGTGTGATCAACCATGCACAAGCAAGTATGAGTGTGTTGCCCACTGTCCTATCTCTCTGGCCCCATGACGGTGAATTCTTTCTTAGTTCTGCCTTTAAGAATCTAGTGTGCCATCTACTTCAGGAAACACTGGAATGAAACCTTTTCACTAAATAAACTAGCACTGAGCTGAGAGAAAGGTGTGTGTTCCTGTAATGCAATAAGTAATAGGAGCCCAAAGTGTGAAATGTTTTAAATTGCTGCCTCCATTGTATTATCTTTTGTTTTAAAACAAAGAAAAAGCATATTGAAGTTTAATTTAAGATCTCAAAAATGCATATTAATAGCTCAATTAAAGTGAATGTTCAGATGGAATTTAAAGTGGCTCCAGATATTAGTGGTTCACACATGACTACCTCTAATTATGTGGGCTCTTGGGATTCTAATTGGCTTAATCTAGGTTTCTTAAATCTGAAGTTATAGCAAAGACTTCAACACAACTCATTATAACAGTAACAGTGATAGTTCCTAAAAACCAAGTGTTTGAAATTCTTTACAGTCCCTGGAAGATCAATTTTACAAATAGGAGAGTCTATCTGATTCATGAGCATTTATTGCATTTATTTGGGGTCCTGTGAATAAAATCAATATTCGAAGGACAAGTATAAGTTATGATAGCACTTCCTCTTTCTTAATTTTGAAAATCGTTTATAGAAAGAAAATTCCCAGGTCATTTTTGTAAAACTTTTGGAAGATTACTTCAATTTTTCCTTTTTTATTGATTTATTTTATAATATTACAGATTTTTGGGGGTATTGTTTAACATTTCTGTATGTGTGTAAACTCATCACACCCACCACCCAAATTTTAGTGCCATTACACCATTGAAGACTTGGGGACCCGTTCCTCCCACTGCTTTTTCCTCTGGTTATTTTCACCAAGTCTCGGACTTAGATTTGTTGTTTGCACTTGTTATTTATAATCCACATATGAGCAAAACCATCTGGAAGTGTCTTTCTTTTCCTATTTCATGCAACATAAACAACTCAAATTTTATCCATTTTGTTCCAAAAAGTACAATTTCATCCATTTTGTGGGAGAGGCAATTGGAGATAAATTTTATATATATATATATATATATAATATATATACATACATATATATATCTCCAACCATCTCTTCATGGGCATTTAAGCTGAGCCCATGGTTTGGCTATTGTGAATGATACTGCTATAGACATAGAGGTGCAAATATAAGTTCAAATTAGTATTTCTTGCCCTTCAAATAACTGCCTAGATATAGTCCCACTGGGACATGCAATATTTCTATTTTTTATGTTTTCAAGGAATCTCCAAACTATTTTCCACAGAGGCTCTGCCAATTTACCTTCCTACCTATTGTATATCATAGTTCCTTTATCTCCATATCCTCATCAACATTAACCTTCTCTATTATATCATCTTTATATAAGCCATTCTCACAGGTATAATGACTTTGACTTACATTTACCTAATAATAAATGACAATAAACATTGTTTTTTGTGTCTGGATACCAAGTCTCTTAATAAAAAAGATATGGTATCAATTAGGAAAGCAATCGGGGTCAGAGAGAGGGTATAGGCATTAGGGCACTTATCTTGCTTTCAACCTACCCAGTTCAGTCCCCAGCACTGTAGGGCCCAAGCAGCAATGCATCCTAGGGCCCTAGGATTGAACCACTGCAATGTCACCAGGAGGGGCCCAGGTCTCCCGAGAACTGACCCCCACCCACAAAAAAAGAATGCATTCAACTACACTGCGCTGTAGCACTGTCCTCCCGTTGCTCATCGATTTGCTCAAGTGGGCCCAGTAACGTCCCATCGTGAGACTTGTTGTTACTGTGTTTGGCACATCGAATGCGTCACGGGGAGCTTGCCAGGCTGAAAAATCTAATGTTAACCTGACAACTAAGACAGGATCTCTTGAATCTTAGATTGGCAGTTCAAGATAAGGACGATGGAAGCAAAAAGTTATTATATACATATTTGCTTGGTTTTCTATTTCTTAGAACATTATTTTATCTTCATTCTATTTCATTGATGTTCTATGTCAGAGGAAGGGC